GTTTTATATGTTTGATTTTATTTTTAAATTCTCATTGAATATGCTTTACATCTTATGTTTATGTATTTTAATTTTAGATAATAGGTTTTTTAAAACATTATTTTAAAATTTAACTTTATATTTTTTAGTAATATTATGTTTAATAATTTTTTTATTTTTTGACATTGTTTTTAGCTTTTTTTTTTGTATTTTTGCGCCTTGCGCCTTAGGTGCAAATTGACCCCTGTGCCTTGTGCTTTTAAAACACTGAACTTGCTAATGTTCTTACAAAAGGAGTTGCAAGAAACAAGATGGAGCATGATCTACACAAAGTTGGGAATGTACGACATTTATTCCCAACTTGAGGGGGAGCGTTGAGTTTTGGGCTGATAATAACATATTTTTATTTACATAGCATAGTTAGGAAGTTATTGGGCCTTAGGCCCATTAGTTTATTTTCAAGTTAAGAGTGTTTTTAAGTTCTCATAAGTAGCCGACTTACTAAGGGCATGCTTGTCTTTGTACTCTCTTTTATTTAGTATATAATCTAATGAAAGGGGTGGCTAGACCTAATCCTTAGCTTCTCCCATTCTCTTCTATCTCTCTTCTCCATCTTTCTTAGCTGAAACYTTTTCTCCTCTTTCTTTTCTTCTTTCTTTTACAGTTTCTATATCAAAACAGGCTGTAAACTTTTCTACTTTCAAACCAAACATAAGGTTAGTGTACATCCTAACCTACATTATTTAGCTAATGTAAAACCAAATCTTTTAGAATAATCCTATACACATAACTTTCATGGTTTGACAAATAATGGGTGCCTTGAGAAACATTTTTAAGTTAAAGATTAACTAAATGCTGAAGTATACATATTTATAGGATACCTTTTGATAAATCCCATCACCACGAGAAACTGGTAGAACTTTGACACATCGGAAGAACGTGGATGTCACAGGGTTGGTAAAACATCGGTCAGTTGCACAGAGCGTCCATCTCAAGCTCTGGGCATCCAACAAAACATTTGGTGGCAACAGAGAAGCAATGACAAATGGATCATCTACAGAAGCCACATGATTGCTTACCTGCAGCAAATAATTGAATACATCTGAGAAAATAAGACCTAAATGGAAAAAGGGACAGTCCACACAACAAAAGCATGATGCATACAAAGTTGCAAATACATAGATATATCATTCCATACAGGCTAAGTTGCAATTTGCAAATAGTAATCTAACAAGCTTCAAAATAATAAACTCAAATAACTTCAGTAATGAAAAGACATGCATAGATGCAGCAAATTGAATATTTGCAATAGGGTGTCCACAGAATACCGTTATAAGAGGCTTGCCTTCTGGTCTCTGCAATAATGCCTGATGAAGTTTTTCTGCCCCATATATCTGAAATAAAGAGACCAAATTTAGCCCTCGAAGGGGTGGGAGGAGCAGTAAAAGAGGGGGGGGGGAGAGAAGTAAAAGGGAAATGAATATCTAGCAGCATTTCGAATACCTGTATGTGATTAAGCCCATGCATAAACACGTGACAAACGTTTCCAATAACTGGAACAGCTAGAGATCGAAGCATGTGGATGATGAATGAATCTTCCTCCGCATCAAAATCTTTATTAACTGCAGTTGTAAGACACCCACAAGCAATATTAATTGCTCGGTAAAATACATGGAAAAAAATAAACCTGCCAAGGGATTTTCGGAATCTGGGGATTCAGGGATTTGCAAGAACATGACAAAGAGAAAGACTTTGCCACGTTAAGTGGCAGACTCCAAGTTAGACCGGAAACCAATCTCTTGATCAACTAAGTCCAAATCCAGAATTCCACCAAAGAAGCAAAATGATGTTCAAGTGTTTATCGGTATCCCCATATTATCTAGGGAAAGTGTGCCGCAAAAACTTACCGCATCAGGTACTTCCAGAACAGTTCCTAGAAACTAGGAGATAGTAACCAGGTTGAATTCATATATTAAATCTCCTACATATTGCCCGCAAATGAACAATTCGATTAAATAAAAATACTTAGTACAATTAAACCTCAAAAAGGGTTGGTATGCCGGAGCCTAGAAGTATTTCTACATAATTCAAGTCACAAGGTMTGCACTAAAATCAGTAAAATGGTATTCTTATCATTATGGATAAAATTGAAACAATAAATGACCAAAAGAAAAAAAGAGTGGAAAAAAACAGCTCTTGATATATAGGAATGGCCAAATGAAAAAGCATTTCATTTCTTCGATTCTTTGCCTAACCTAAAATAAAAACCGAAAAGAAAAACAAAAGAGGAAATGATGTTCTGAGAAGCATACCCCGCTTCCGATAGAATGGAGATGAAGCCGGCATCGAATCTGTGCGAAGATTGCGTAGGCGTAGAACCCACCGTTGAACCGATGACGAGAAATAACCATCTGATAGCCTCGATTTACGTCTATGCTTGTCGACAGCGATGCGAAAACGATCTCTGATCCGAATCTGCAGTGCCCGGGCCTTTTCCTTCCATAGATCGCTCTGATCAATCCAGCCTCCGGCCATGGATGTGTCGACAGGTTTGCTTGAAGTCGGATAAAAACAGACCAGTACTTGATAATCAAAGACAAAATTTTCAGATTTAGGGTTTTCGGACTTTGCAGCAGATTCTTCGAACAGTTATGGAGAGTGTCGTCCCTGTGTAAAACATCTGAAGGACACCCCCGTGCCTTCCGCGGGGAGCGAAAGAAATAGGAGAATGGCAGAGTGACGCGCGACCAGTATGGATCAGAAGACGCTCACTAAACGACAAGAAGCTAATATTTCTTTGATTGAAGCCAAATTACCAAATCAACCGCCGTCGGATATCTGTATCTGTCCTGTTTATCTGCTTGTAATAAAAAGTGCGCAACAAATGCTCGTCGCGATAGCACCACCCAAAAAGAAAATATGAGAGAACTAGCTGGTGTGGTGATTGGTGACTGGTGACTGGTGACTGATGATGTGATATATACTGTGTACAACTGTACATAGTCATAACCTAGGAGATGTTGGGTTGGTGGGGATTATTCGGGGTCTGCTATCGACAATTGATACTCACATCCTTACCCACCATGTATTGGAAACATCGGAAATACGCAGTCGTCATATCTCATGGTAGAGATGTGGGGAGTAGCAGATCCGAGCTCGGTGCGGATGCTCTATACACAAAACATCGTGTGTGCCCATCACGAAAGATCCATTATCTATTATGGTTTTATTATATACGGTAAATCACCATCTATAAGCTGGTGAGGTCATTCATGCGTTTCCTTTCCTTTATTGCTCAAAATTCACCTTTCCGTTAAGATTTCCGTTAGATTGTTAGTGACTGTTAATAGAAGTTGTCTAAATAAGTATTTATACGATCAAATTTGGAAATTTTTTTAAACTACCCTTAAGGTTTAGAAAATTGATTAATTATTATTGTTTCAGTATTGTCTAAAACTAAAAAAACTAAAAGTGTTCACAATTGACTAAATCTTCCTTACCATCAATGTTTATTAATGAAAGGATTAAAAAGACTATTTTGCCCATTATTCTTCTTTAAATTTTCAAAATGAAATTTTTGACACCTTATTGAAAGAGAGAACTTCAAACAAAACTCATTTAAAGATGTCGGAGACTATGGACCAATTCTCGTCTTTCATAGCATCTTCCCATTGTCCAGATCAACACGTCATTGGTCTAGAGTCAATTGCTACTGCACATCCCATCGACAATCCTGCTATTGGAGTGGCACTACTCGTAAGGGTTTGACTAATAGACATCTTACCTTGTGACGGGGCACCGAAGATCTATTGGCTCCAAGATGAGAAGCACCAGAGATCTGTTGGCCCTTGAGCACTAGAAAGGCATCGATGGTTGGCTTGAGACAACTGAAAAGTCACCATCTTTGCAAGATTCACCATCATTGGCCTTCCTTGATCAAAGAAGAAGAGATTACAAAATTGAAGTGTGTGAGTCTCGGAAGTCCATTGCAGTTTCATCCATGAGTGCCTTTCTGTAGCCCTCCTCGTCTATTGGTGTTCACTAATACAGTCTCTCTCTCTCTCTCTTTGGCTCCATTCCGGTTTGATACCCAAAATTAGCCTTCTCTAATGGCTTCCACAATTGCATTAAGGAGAGCCACCACTCCAAGCCTCCTCAACCCAGTCCACTCTGTCATGGTTGTTCCACCCATAGTGCGCTCTTTCAATACTAATGCTCAAATGCGCAACTATGACGATGACGAGCATGGTGTTAATGTTAGTTGCTGCTCTGACTAGCTTGTCTCTCGCCGTTGTGGTTACATTCCTAATCTCTTCTAGTCCTTATTGTTTATCCTATTCAGTTTTTTGTTCTTGTGACTTGTGATTCATACTTGGGTTCATTAACTCTGTAAATCTTTTTGGTTTCTCACCATGTTTTCTTTCAATTTGGTTGGCAGACGTGCTTGATCCTTTCTCTCCAACAAGAGCTTAAGTCAGGTGTTTAATTTGATGGACCAGTTCATGGAGAACCCATTCCTGGCTACATCAAGGGGGATGGGAGCTGGAACGAGAAGAGGATGGGATGTGAAGGAAGATGAGAATGTTGTATGTGAGGATGGRCATGCCAGGGCTAGGGAAGGAAAACGTGAAGGTGTTTGTGGAGTAGAATACTTTGATCATCGAGGGAGAAGGGGAAAAAGAATCTAACAAGGAGAAGAGTTGGCAGAGGTACAATAGCAGGATCAACTTGCCTAAAAAGCTCTACATGATCTATCAAATTAAGGCGGAGATGAAGAATGGTATTCTTAAGGTTATTGTTCCAAAGGTGAAGGAAGAGGACAGGAAGGACGTCTTCCAAGTTAAGATCGACTAATTTTTGGGAGTAACTCTGGTAGAGAACTGAAAAGTCACCGCCTTTGCAAGATTCACCATCGTCGGCCTTCCCTGATCAAAGAAGAAGAGATTACAAAATTGGAGTGTGTGAGTCTCAGACATCCGTTGTAGTTTCATCCATGAGTGCCTTTCTATAGTCCTCCTTGTATTGGTGTTACTCTTGCCAAATTTGCAAAACCATCAAAGGCTCCGATGTCGGAGTCATCTTCCCGTTTCTAATGGATCGAATCAAAATCTATGTTGTGTCAGATGGGAGGGTAAGCATTTGTATTGAAACCTTGATGTGCTTGAAGCTTCTCGACAACCATCTTGATCGTGCGGCTTTGTTCAGTCTAGAGGCAACGGTGATGGCAGTGGTAGCAACTACAATGGTGGCTATGGTCATGATGGCAAGTATGAAACAAGGAAAGTGAACGAGAGAGAACGAAGGGAGATAGATAGATAGATAGATAGATAGATAAAGAGAGAGAGAGAGGAGGTTTGAAGGTTACTCGCCACTAGTTTGAGTAGAGAAGACAGTGATCTTTGCCAAAAAGGGTATTTTGGGTATAATTTAAAATTAAATCAAACATGTGAAGTCACGTATAAATGGCTTATGACGAAAGCTTAATGGGAAGGGTGTTGTGTGACAATTGTTAGAAACAGTAGGGGTACTTTAAGACAATACTGAAATAGTAGGGGTATAGTTAGTCAATTTCCTAAACCCTAGGGGTAGTTTAAGAAATTTGCCCTTCTAATATATATTTTAAATGTATGCGTGTTGGATTAGGCCTAGGCCGAGCTTAAAGTATTAGGCCTAGGTCCAATTCTAAAATTTGCAGGCCAAGTGTGGGTTCGGGCCATGTTAGAAGTAGTTTTGTCATAAAATCATTTAATAAGCTTGATTGGCCATTCAAGGGTAGTTTGGTCATGTAAAATACTTTAAATGCTTAATGAACAACTTCTTTTAATGGTTACTGACGGTGATCTAATGGAAATCTTAATAGAAGATAAGTTTTGGACAATAAAGCTCAATGACAAGGGCTCTTTAGTGGTTTTGAAAAGTCACAATGAGATTAAGAGAAATGTGAAGAAGTCATGGTGAGTTTTAGATAATATCGTTTTTTTTTTTAATTGAAAACAAGAGAAGACTCAACTAAACAAAGATCATAACATAGAACTAACTATGCAAATTCCTAAGACCAGAAAAAAAATATTCTTTTTTTTTTATACATATATATATATATTATCAAGTTGGGCTCAAGCTTTCTAAAAAAGCCCAGGCCCACAGACCTAAAGTCATGTCCAAGCCAAGGATGGGCCATGCCAGCCCATTGGGCTACCCGGCCCATGAACAGGTCTAGCAACAAGTTTGGCTTTATTTTTTTAAAACCAAATTATACATGTTGGCAAACACCCCGTAAAATAATAAATAAAGTATTCAGCATGGGAAAAGCTTGGGAGTCCTTTCTAATTTTGATCATCTAGTCAACTGGGTGGTGCATCAAAACATTCACAATCGTTCWGGTAACCAAACTGGGCTGCTTTAACAATAAGGATGAAATGAGACAGATATGTCTCAATATAAGTATTTCCATAACTCATTCTTCTTGATGAGAAGAAACACGTTTTCTACGATATCTTAGTTGCAGCCAAGCTTCCTTTCGCCAGACATAGGATTGGAGTTAAGGCTCAGTTTGGAAGGAGTATAAATGCAAATACGTAGAGTGCAAAGCCTTGCATTTTGTATGTATTTGTATTTGTACTCTTTCCAAACTGAGAAACGATCACGTTCAAAACAAACCTTTTAGCTGCTGAACCTTTTAACTAGTTGTACATTAGGAATATCTTTCATACTTGTACCTTGAATCCATGAGATGTTCCTGATGCACAAGTGGATGTCATGTTCTCAATGTGTTTGTAAAATTTTTGCTTTCAGGAAATCCCATCCCATGCAAAACAGGGTCCAAGTTTGATAACCAAAATGCCGCCATTGTGATCCCTCATGACAACACTGTCCTCTAAGTAATGCTTCGTTCAACTTGCCAAGCATATTTACGGAATAAAAAATTCTTGGCAAAATTCTAATATGAAGGTGACTATTACACTCACACACAACTCTTAAGACTCCCCCACTTTTGCCTTAATTCTTACGGAAAAGTATGGGCAGGCCCAATGCAGATTTCTAATTTCCACTGTAGAGCTATAAACATTCAAAATGGCAACAACCCACACTCTATGCATCAACGCCCGCCCGTGAATTGGCATCAATTCCGATCTGACACCTACCYCAACAGTACTCTGTGCCTATAAATTCTGACCCTGGGCTGAACCATCATTCTCCTGATTGGATTCTTATATATTGGATTGGGTTTTGATCCAACACATTGATAGCCCAACTTCCGGATTTTTTTTTGCTCTTGAAAAGATCTCAAAGGCTAATCCATTCAACAATAAGGTTGGAGATAAGAACTCCGGAACAGTGGACCAGGTCTGGTTTTTGATATGGCCAAATTAATGGTTTCATGGCAAATTAAAACCACCCTGAAATAGTTTTAGGGTCCATTTGGTTAGTGGGAATAGGGGTTTGGAATCAGAATCAGAATGTCCAACTGTTTGGTTGGGCACAATCAGAACCCCATTCATTTTCATAGTAGAATGGCATTCCTCCATTTGAGGGAATGACCATTCCCTTCTTCTCCCTTGGGAATGAGAATCAATTCCAGCTGATTCCAATTCCTGTCCGAACCAAACAGGTGGGAGGAGTAGACTGTTCCAATTTCAATTTTAATAGATTTTGATTCTGGTTTCAATTCTGACTGAACCAAACAGACCCTTGTTAATCTAGAATGCATAAAAAGTATTTAAGACAATTTTAAGATCCACATGAAGAAATTTTTATACACAAACACAAGGTGTGGTGAAATGGTTAGGATACAAATGGAAATGCTAATGCTTGGGGGAACATATATGAAATACAATTTAAGAAAAAGTTATTAAAAATAAGGTACAAACATATATGAAATACAATTTTTAGTAATCCATGTATAACTCTGAAGTGTGAAAAAAAACCTACCATGATATATTTGAGAAACATTGAGAAGAGATGGAATATATATGTAATGGTAAGGACCCTCAGGAGAGCAGTAAACTCTGCACAAAATCCTAAAAACATATTTGATTTGTGTTTATTCATGTTTTAAGACATAAAGATACCAATAGAAGCCATGTAGGAATAAATGTTTCTCCCCACAACAAATGCCAAAAATGACATTTTCTGGAAAAATGAGTCTCACATAAATCAAAACAAAAAAATTGACAGCATTTTTCTAAGAAACGGTAATAAAATGTCAACCAAATAAGCAATTCTTCCTATCACAAAAAAAAAAACAAAAAAAAAACAAAAAACAAAAACTACATGACTTTGAACTGGCAGAATTCTTTCAAAAATCGGCAATGGTACCAAACACCACCTTAGTTATCACGTAATGGATTGGGGTCCTTGCAACCACATGATTTTTATACACATTTAAATAGGGAAATTGGCAATTAATATGAATAGGATAGATACAGACCCACACAAGTGGAATGACACCGAAACTGGGCCATTTTATGTGCCACGTGTCAATCTCTCAGGACATGATATATGCCCTGCATCAAACGCACTGATATTTTGAACCTAGGTTTGTGAGCTATGATGGATATAAGATACATATTACTGAATAAATGATGGTGTGTTGCTAAAAGAATCTTTGGGTTTGGGAGATGGATTATTTACCAAATAGAAAGAATGGATTGATATATACGTAGATCCTTTCTTATTTCCCTGTTTTCTCCTTTTTCTTTCATTTAACTCATCTGCTACAGAATGACTTGGCTATAACATCTTTAGTCCCCTAAAACATAGTGCTCCATATTCCACTGAGCATCCAAGACTGTCGTGATCAATAAGAAAATGTTGATCTTTTTATAATGTTGGAATAGCAAATTTATCCCAATAGGATCCTTGACTGTCCTAATTTATCCCAATAGGAGATGCGAATACAAACATAGGCTAAGTTCATTTTGATGGATGAAAGAAGGTAATGAAAATGATAGGAGTTGAAGAACAAACTGATGGGCATCAAAGTCTGAAAAAGCATTGTAGTTTAAACTTAAAGTTTGCTTGAAGAAGAAAAGATGGACAGAAGCAGAAAGAAGTGCCATGTAAAAAGTAAAATGTAGAAATGAAATGATCAGTAGAAAGAAATTAAGATATCCACATACAAGATAAGGTATGTCAAGAAACTCAGAACTACTTCTGTTAGGAGTTTCCAATGGCCATTTACAAAAGCAGTCCCATTGCAAGGTTTTGGTGAARAAATGAGAAAGGTAGCCGAATAAGAAGCTTTTTTGCTTGATGAGAAAATGGTAACATACCAAGATTAAGAAAAATTAGAAACCTAGGTCATGTTAGATGCTTCAGAAAGAACCCTGATGATGCATGCTAGTGGATGACAAGGAGATAAACAAAAAGGTTGAATTAGTTTTGCCATATGTAAATCATGCTAGGTTTTATGCTTGAGGTAATGTTGACTCTACAAACTTACTAATAGCATTAGGTACTTTCTGTGGCAAACCACAATGCTAGTGTATGACAAGAAGATGAAGAAACTCTTTTACATAGAAAGAAATGCCTTGGTTGTCCTGCTTGAGTAAGTTGTTTGATAACAGAAAATAAATAAAGATAAAATGTGATAGTACCTATATATAAGAATAAATGAGAGATGGTTTGAACTGATTTCAAGAACCAAATTTTTATGCCAATAAAAAGGGCCATTACTCAAATGTTGGTCCCAGCTACCTGGAGTCTGGGAGGGTGGACTGGATATGAACCAAACCTTTGGCCAAAGATCAAGAAACAGATTAGTGAAAAAACATTAGGCTGGTTTTCCAGCTTCATGCTAAAGATGCATTTTACATGGGCAATGAATAGAGAATTTTGAAAGGGGAAAAGGAAAATCTGGACAAGGTTTTGTATTGAATTTGATAAAATACATAATAAACATGAATATGTGAATATGCATGCTTTGGAGTTTTCCAAAGATGTTGCTTCAAACAGTGTCCATTTCCTGTCAACAGTGTGATAGTCCCAACAGTCGGYGTTCAATATTGACTGATTTCTAAGTGATTACATTGTCATCTTCTACTGCTGTTTAAGCTTAGTTCCACCAGCCATTTAAACAATGATCAATTGAAGAAGTTTTCAGCATGCATATAGATGACATTGTTAGCAGCATAATATATCATATCTGTTTTCTTGGTGCCCTCCTCCTTTCTTTTTCTCTTTGCAAAACATCATACCTATATACAAGTACTTCTCAGATCAGGCATAAAACGTAATTCTATATACTACCAGAAAATAACACCAACTTCTAATCATAATTTCATGTCTGACATGGTATAATTAACATCATAAAGAGGAAATGCTTACTTAGAAAAGGGCTTTAGCAAATGAAAATCTTGTAATCAGCAATTGAATCTCCAATATTCAAGTAATTGACATCAACTGCAACTTCACCAAAATCATCTGGACAGTACTGATAATCAATCAACTGAACATTATCCATTTTTGTAAAAGGTCAACAGAAAATATATAATCTATGTTCCCAATTTCTTGCAAGAAACCTTTCTCCATGGCAATACCCAAAGTGGTCGTTATATATCTATGAGAATGGTAAATTGAAAATATCCAAGCTTTATGAATGGCAACCTAAATTGTTTAATTTCCCATGAACAAACAGAAAAAGAATTAAAAGATAAGTTTTCTAACCTTCATAGATTGTTCTCACAAATTTGACATACTCTGGTATTAGATCTTTATATATAACCCCTCTTGGGGAGGCATCAAGGACTACCAAGACTCCTATAAGTGAGAAGATTAAAAGAAAATCAGAGATATTCTGTGACAAAAACTAATGGTTTTGCAAAATAGTATCTTTCTAACATACAGGAAATATGACCATATTTAAAAGGAAAAAGTGAAGGGAAACATGGAGTTCAGATTATAGAAGGAGAAGCTGATCCATGTTAACTTATTTGTAGGATATAAAATGAAGATTTCTTTCTGTATGGAGTCTATGGACTATGGATTTATCAAACTTCTGAAATAGAAATACTGACATTTTTTGTTTGCAATTCCTAGCTGGGAGACATACCAGGTGCCAACCAAGCTTTGGTGGAATTGCTTGGCAAAGGAGCCAACCAAAGAATGTTTCGCAGATTAATTGAATCGTCATACGCCACATTACTTCCTAAAGGAAAGAAAGAAATACATGGTGGTCAGAGCAACAGCAATTCCTTACTAGATAAGACATAACAAGAAAAATTATAAATTGAAGCAATCCAATAGCACAAGTAGCATATAGAGTTGAATGGAACAAAAACAACAAATTCCAATTTCCAAATAGAGAATTTAAGATGTCTGAAACAGTTTACCTATTTGGCAATAACCCATATTGTAGGGGAAAACTTCCGTATCATATGCTGGATATTCTTTCGCATGGAATCTGTCACAAATTGGAACCATCGAGTCATATGATCATGCTTATTTAGAAGGAATCATTTTTTTCCCTTTTTAGCTTTTTTTTTTCTCATCCTCTTCCTATCATTTTTTTTTTCTTTCTTTTCTTTTTCAAATAGTTTCAGACTTTCAGGCCACAATGGACACAATAACTACATATAAGAGAACGATTTTCAACTCACAATATACCAAGCCTTCCAGTGTCCGTAGCAAGAAAGAGATGCCCATGAAAAAGGTCATAGCGATCTAATGATACGTTCAATCCGACAGAAGGGCCACGAGCAGCAATTATTTCAAACAGGAAGGCAAGGTATGAATTCAATTCCTGCACAATTACAATGTTTTAGCGAAGGTAAACCTCAGCAATTTAATTTCAGTTAACCAACATAGAATTGGAAATGAGGCACCATCAGAGGTTCATTACTGTGATTCGGACCTCGTCTATGAAGCGTCTACCGTACGGGGTTCTTGTGAGTTGGCACTGATCCAGTTCCGATCCTTCGACATCAGGAACCTATATATTACGAATGAAGAGCAGCTATACTGATTTAGTTACAGTGTTAAAGTGTTATATTTTGAACTCTAGAAAGATATAATTGTGAACTGGATGATACACTGTTACAAACTCACGGGCAACATCGTCGGATCTAGGGCTCTGTGTATGGCTGCCGGATCTCCGCCGGAGTCAACGGCGATACGAGCAAGCTCCATCATTGACGTCGGCGGCCACCAGATGAGCCCATCCTCGTCTGTACGGTCCAGACAAGAGATCGTCTTTGACAACTTCCGCTGGTCATCCTTGACTCCGGTGTGAAGATACGTTGTTCCGCTAGAAAATCTCTCAAATTTATTCTCGGCGAGAATCGGAGAAAACGGTACCAGAAACTTCAAGCAAGATCTAAGCTCCCTGGCTACCTCAGGGTTGATTGCTGAAGCTTGTTCCCTGCTTCCAAGAAGAGAGAGAAGGTCCGAAGCAGATGCTTTAGGAGGGGATGAAGAGACTTTGATCGAAAAGGGTGAAGACGAGTGGGTTCGACGAAGAAATGGCAAAGATGAAGTCGACGAAACAGCGAGAGAGAGGGATAGTACTAAAGTGAATTTAAAGCAGAGAGAGTATTTCCCCATCTAAGGCTTCTCTCTGGATCGATTTGTTTACTGCCACTGTGGCGCAGAATGATCTTTCGCCGGCAGTAAATTTCCACGGCTACGGGTGGAGACGAGCTCGGCAGACAAGGCTCGAACCGGGTCGACTTCGATTCGATCCATAAGGGTAAATTGACTAATCTACACCTGACTAATTCTATCTTACCATTAGCATCCATTAATATTCCGTCGAAATCCGTACACATATAACACCACTGAGATATATTTTTTTTTATACACAATATTACACTATTCGTCTTTATGGGAGAGGATGTCGGTGTTTCTGTAATCACTGCAATTGTCGTCGATGATGGTGCTACACCACCAGCGCACGACAACCTCCGAGCCAATTGGGCCACGACAACCTCCCTAAAATTCAAGTAGACGAAACTGTGGTTCCTTTTAGATCTGAGAAATTCAGATCTCATATCTGAGTGACACTCAATAGAAACCCCCTTGCTAGATAGATGGAATCTTAGATCTGAGATATACTCTTTACAGAAGTGCATGATTGTGCAAGGATGGCACAAGGTGTATGCGGCGAAGACATCGAATGCGGTGTCGGCGGGTTCATGTGTGCCGTTGCCGTTGCTGCTCGCTCTCGCGCTAAGGTTGTCGATGTGTCGCCTGAATGACAGAAAGAGGGAGATGGAGAGGAGGGACAAGCTGGTTATAAAAGCCAACACAAATTTTTGGTTTAACCTAATTGGGAACTACCGAAATCAAATCAACCAGTCACTGTTCATCTTTTCCACTCGATGCAAGCGGCGAACCAGCGGTAGTAACCTCCCTCCACTGCATCGCTCTTCTCTCTCTTTTTCTGTATATGTATATGTATATATATATATTCTTTCCTTTCTTCTCTTCTTCTTCTTCCTCTCCTCCTCGGTCTGCCCTCTGCTCCACCCGCCGCTGCAATTCATAGTAGCGATAGCTTTTCTTCCTCCCCTATCTTTCCATCGATCTCCCCCTTTCTATCTCTCATTTTCTCCTTCTCTCTCCCTCGACTTCCATTCTCTCTCTCTTTGTTTTACCAAATTTTCCATCAGTCTCACCGTTTCTATCTCTCATTTTCTCCTTCTCTCTCTCCCTCAGCTTCCACTCTCTCTCTGTTTTACTTATTGGTTCCATGATCCATTGTTGCACCACCTCAGTTCGCCGTCTTCTTGGACATAAACGAGGCTCTCTAGCAGTGGTAAAGAACCAGCATTTTCCTTCCCTCTTTGGCCGCCTATCTAATCTTTGCAGCACCTCTGTTTCCACTCGCTTCACTGGTTTGTTGTCCTCGGCAAAACAGGCAATTGATCTTCTCTCTCAGGCGGCCATCTACTCTACCCCATCGGACCTCAACCAATGTTGATCTACTGTCATTAAAGCTTTCCCTCGACTCAAAACATCCATTCGTTAGCTGGAGAGGTGGTCCCCCTGTTTTGAGCATTTGTGACGTTTCATCCTTTCCTTAAACACTTAACGCCGATGTCAATTGTTAGAAACAATAGGATGGTGTAAAACAATAATAAAAATAGGATAAAATACAAAAACCTCTCATGAAGTTTTTAACAATTATAAAACCCTCCCCTATATAGTTTCAATTTAGCAAAAGCCTCCCGATGAATCAAATTTTCCCAAATACTTATTTTATCCTTTTGCAAATTAGTTTATATCTATTTTCACTAAAATATCCTTGTCGACATGTTATCCTCTCTCCCGTCGACCTCTCTACCCTGTTTTTCTATCCCATTTTATGGAGTCTGAAGAGGAGGAATGCAGCACGCAATCTCTCATCCAAACTCCATCGATTCAAGGAGGAACACAACATGCACCTCTTAATCTCCATGAATGTCACCAAAAGCCTCTGTTCACAGCCCAAGACCAAAAGAAATTAAATTTGAAATAGCAACTAAAGCACTCTCACCTGTAACAAGAATGGTCGATCATGCATAGGGTGACTACAAGCATCTCAGGTCGGTCAACCACCTTGGAAGTTGGAAGGACGTCCCCTCTGTTGGAAACACGAAACACTATGATATGATTTCCCATGCTAACTTCATCCCCTAATTTCCCGTAGCACTTGCTTGGAAATCAGCATATATAGGTTACAACATTGCAGCCCTACCTCGCCATGAAGAAGTCCTCCTCCCCAAAGAGGTATCCTCCCTTTCCACTACTAAATTCATCCAGACTTTCTTTTGTTTAATATGAATCTCCAAAACTTTGGAAAAATAATATCATTGCATCCAACCTCTTCCAACTCGGATAGTCCTCATCAACAACCACAAAGCCCCCAATACATCATTTGTAACCTCTGTCAAACCCAGCTGAAACAACTTCTTCCTCCCATGCTTTCTTTGTTATTATTCATGGAGCAAGATTTTAGAATAATTAACCCATGCTTCATGCATGGTGCTTTATCGAGCTTCGGAGGGAAAAGAAAAATGCCTCATAGCTAAGCAAAATACTTTTCTGGGAATTTTGATATAAAAAAGAGTTCTTCTATTGGCCAGCATCAATGAATCGAAAAGAAATCATAGGTGATAGACATGATCAAGATAACATAGAGCTAATCTATCATGGGAAGTTAACACATGGCCTGTTCGACGAGCCCCCTCGTTTGATATGCAGATTAAGCATATCATTCACTTCTCTGAATCAAACAAGACAGACAACCACACATCGTATAGGATAACCCTTTGGATTACTTTTCCGGTTCAAATCTAGAGATGGCAACACAGGTATCCATGAAAACTGCCCTTTTCATTCTTAAACCTGATTAAGCATTCTTAATCTCGAACCATCCCAGATTGGTTTAACTTTTCATTTCAATTTCCCAATTTCATGATGCGTGTTAATTTTATAGCAAAAGATTTGAGTGCACTGGTTGATACTGCTCAGGTGATGTCGGAGACAAAGGTGACTCCGGTTAAGAGAGCACTAGGTTCTTCTAAACATGGATTTTTGATCGAATTGGTAGGTCGAGATTGCAAGGCTTTTATGATTGTCAAAAACTTCAGGGGAGGTTTTTGTATTTTATCCTAAATATATATATATATATATATAATTATTTCTTATTTTATATAAAAAATAAAAAAATATTGAAATATAAGCTCTAAGGAAGGTTTTTATGATTGTCAAAAACTTTAGGGGAGGTTTTTGTATTTTATCCTAAAATATATATATATATATATATATAATTATTTTTTATTTTAGATAAAAAATAAAAAAATATTGAAATATAAGCTCAATTAAGCTCATGAAATCCATTGTCCCTTTTGCTTTGAACAAGAACGTCAAGGTACATGAGTTTTTAATCATTGATAGGCCTCGTATATTCTTGGAAATAATTGGTGGATAAATTTGTCACAGAGGCCCATGATGATGGTAGATTTGCAGAAAACAAATTTGAGCAATATTGTGGGTGTTTGGCATTGATGTTGTTTTCTGAGCAAATGGTGCTTCAAACAACACCCTCTTGTTTGATACCGTTTTCTCAAAAAAACGTTACTCCAGACCACGTCTTAGAAATAAGGAAGTGTGGTATGGAGTAATGCCAAATTCAATGTTTTCTGAGAAAACGGTGCGTTGCTGCCAGTGGTGCAATGATGTGGCATCATCTTGGACGTTAGATAATATAGACCATGTTGAAAACGTTGCTGCCAACACTGGTATCAACTAAAACCAATGTTGTTTTCTCATAAAACAGTCTATGTGGCAGCACCAATTCCAAACAAAAAAAAAAAAAGAAAATGGTGTTTACAACTCTACATGCCCAGCATTGATGCCAAACACCTACATTGATTATTGGAGTATGTAGTGTTACAGGTGCAACTTGGGCGGGCCCAACCTGAAAATTTACACGTGATATATATATGGGCTTAAGCCCGAGCCCAACCTAAGTGCATCGAATTATGGTACAAGCTAGGCTCAGATTGGGGAAGATCAAGCTTGACCTTGGACTCAATCTGGGTTTGGTCCTTCAGCCTAAATTTTAGGGTTGGGCCTAGATTGACCATAAACCTGGTCCAACCATCTGACTTGTACCCCTATGTCGTGTGATTTCATAAGGCCATACACTTGGTCCTAGATAAACGAGTGACGAAGAAAATGTTCGTAGAGCAGTGTATCTAGGGCATGGGGCCATATAATATATATATATATATTAAAGGAAGGCTTTCAGGCCAAAGCCCCCTCCTAGTTAGACGCATGTCATCCCATTTTTACAGGAAATAGAATTTTAATTCAAACTGCCCACTTTCCCATTTTTATAGGAAATAGAATTCAAATTCAACTACCCACATTTTCAGGAAATAGTAATTTAATTCATTCATGGGTAAGCACACGTTGCTTTCTCTATGAATAAAAATGATTAAACAATTCAAAACATTATTAAATAATTAATAAATTGAGAAAAGTACTATAATATGATTAAACAAATATAATTGATTATTCACTATAGAATGGATACTTAAATAATAAAATGATTAAGTAATTTACTAATTAAGAATTAAATTAACAAGAAAAATATTGAATAATTTAATTTATTCAAATAAAAAAAATGATCAAGCAATTAATATTGACTAATTCAATAAGAAATAATCGAGCAATTAATAAAATGTTTAAAAATTAAAAAAATTGATAAAAGAAAAATGATTAAATAATTAAATATGATTAATTAAAAAATGATTAAATAGCAAAAGTCAAATCCAACACTTCATGCATCCCACGAGTAATACATTCTTTAAATGTTAGCAATATTAATTAACAGTATTTAATATAGCAGTTTATATTTTAAAACTTTACTACCTTATAAATAGTATTTATTATTGATATCTATTAACAGTATATAAGGACAGTTGTTTGTATTTTGTAATTTTTATTTCCAGCGTTTCAAAAATGTTCTAATAATTAAGAGTAATATTTATCGACAAAATTATATTGATTAACATTATTTATTATAGTATTCATATAATTTAATTATGATTTTAATACTATTAAATATGTATATATATATATATGTATATTTGTATATATGTATGTATGACATTAACTAGTTGGCATTCAAAAGGAAAAAAAGGGACATGAGGCCATTTTGCAGAATAGGGATCAAGAATGACGAGCTGCCCATGTTTCTTGCAACTTTAGAAGTGCACTAAGAGACGGCAATCAACAGGGTAACATAGGCACCAGGAGTAGGAATCTGGATTTCCTCTTGCGCACCTCACACGGGCCTAACAGCTTCATCCCACCGTAGATTGAGAACATTTCTTTATGAATACCAATACAAAGTATGGGAGATGTTCCCAATGCATGGTGGGATGGGACTGTGAGGTCTGTGTGGTGCGTTCTGTGAGGAGTAGATCCCATTCTAGGCATAGACCTTATTCTTGATGGAGTCTGGCTTCAGTCAGAGCAAAGCCCATTCCAACAGCCTTTACAACCTTGTGTTAGGAATATCTCTATAGTTATGTGATTTATTTCATAGGAGATATTCTYAATGCAAGATTGCAAAGAGCTGATCGAAGGGTGAGAGCACTGACTTGCCCCGATAAAAGCCAAACTCTCCCTAATGAATCGAACTACTCTTTACACAACACTCCTCACGCCTACCTCACAGGCACATCCCATCATGTATCAAAAAAATTTTCCATACTTTTATATTATTTATTCATGGGAGATGTTTGAAATCAGTGTTTAATGCGACCCCATTTCTGCTTTTTTTTTTTTTTTAAAACAGAGATCTCAACTCATTTCTGACATGACAAGAGAGATGGACCCTATTCCCAGCCGGTGAATGAATGATCATTATTCTTTAGATTATTTGAACTTGATTTGAACTTTATATTGGACTTGAATTAGATTCATAGCTTAATTTAGACGGAACTGAATGAGATTTTTGATAATGAATGAAATTTGAATGACTAATTTGATTTGTATGTTGGTATATGATCAACGAAAAGAAATGTTTTTAATTCTCTCTCATTTTTTTAAGATTTCAACTTTTCATACGTAAAATAGGTGGAAATCTTGTTCGACACGATTTAGCACTTTTATACTGATATTGTCAGGGCCCACTATGTCACTATGCTAGAAATTGCCTCCAAATCTTGAGCCTTTTAGAAAATCGAATCTGTTTTCAGGGCCCACTATGGGACTAAGGCTCCGTTTGGAAAGATAATAAATACAAATATATGTATAGTGTAAATATATATATGAAATACAAGGTTTTGTATTCTATATATTTGTATTTATAGTTTTGCACTCCTTTCAAACGAAACCTAAACAATCAATAATGCATCAGTGTTCCATACATGATGAAGGGTGATTTGGTTCGACCTAGCAAGAAGGGGATACATGGGCGCAATCTAATCAAGGGATGGCAACTTAGCCTGTCAAGCTTAGTTTGCAACATTTGGGGTTCGGGTATTCAACCACCTCGGTGTAGA